CACTGTGCCACCAGGGCACCTAGAAAGCATTTAATAATTGTTTGATGGGTACAAGTCTCTCAACCAAACTGGCAGGAATACGAGTGACCCTTGCTTTTTTCCAACATGCCAAATCTTCTACCATACTCATGTATTATTTTGATAATCAAAAACAAACAAACAAAAAAAAAATTCAAAAGGAGACCGGAAAGGAAGTCCTAGGAAAAAGGAGTAGAGTGGAACAGACCCAATTCACCAAAAATGATGGCAGCGCTATAAGCTCACGTTCCAGGAGGGGACCAAGGCATTCCAGTGTCTAGAGGGAGATTCAGAAACAGTATCTCGTTCATTCTTTGGCTAAGTCAGGAGTGACTTGTCTTATCTCTGCCAATGGAAATATGGTAAGAAAACCAATAAAGAGTGCAAAAGACTCTTTAAGGTAAACAAGGGACATGTCAAGAAGCAAAGAAATGTTCTAGAAAACAAAGTTGTGTTTACCGTGCCATGCTGATTGTCAGAGGTATTATGGCCAAACATAGACCAATCAACAACACCAACAGGAAGAAGAAATTAGAATTGGATGCTCGGAACTGCCTTGGAGAGGGTCTGCAGGTATAAAGAAGACTCATCTGAAGGGAGAAAAAGAAAGAGAAGAAATCAGGAGTGATGAACAGAGCCTCCGAGAGGATCCAAGCATGCTCACAAACGACAAGTAGGAGGTCAACTGGTTTAACCTTCCTAGAGGGTAGTCCAGCACCATAAATCAAAATGGAAAATGTCTCATCCAGACCCCAACTTTGGGGAGTTCCTCCTGAGGAAACAATAGGACAATGGGCCAAAACATATGCATACGGATATTTACTCCTGCAGTTGTTTTTAACAGAATGCTTGGAAGCAATCAATGTGGCGACTGCTAGCTATCAGTAGCTGTTTATTGAAGTAAAGTGACATCTGTACAATGTTACATGATGCAGCCTTTAGAAAGGATAAGAATTTTATACTCAAGTGGTACTAGGAAATAAAAATTTAATAACTATGGCATGATTCTATTTAAGTTAAAAAATATGCTTATTTTTTACAGGCATTTAAACATATATAAAATGGATCTATAATAATATATAGCAAATTGAGAGACTTTACTTGAATTTTTCCTAAGCATATATATTAAAGTTAATATTTCCATTGAGGGTAAAAAAGCCTTGAAGGAAATATCAAGAAGGAGGGGAAAGCGGATATAGAAACAGGTATAAAATTTCTCCTTAATATTTAAAAAGCAATGTTACTGGCAACAGACATCAAGCCCTTCTGATATCAGCAGTAGCCAGACCACCTTGAGTGGAGGTCATGAAGCATTAACGGGCCGCTTCACCCACTGAGCACTTGTTCAAGCACACTGCCTAGGACAGCTTCATACAGAAACGCTGGGACCAGCAGCCTGAGGTACACAGGCACACTGTTCCCTGCAGCATTGCCATGGATTAGCAAAGATACTGTAAACAACCTAAACACCCATCAGTAGGGGCTATGGATACAGTGGACTATCCCACAGTCCTTAAAATGAATGAGGAAAACTCATGGGTCTTGCCACGGGAAGTGGTTCAAAGGCCTCCACAAATGTCCAAACCCAACCAAACCCACTGCCATCAACTTGATTTTGACTCACTCCTGGCAACCCTAGAGGACAGAGTAGAACTGCTCCATAGGGTTTCCAAGACTGTAATCTTTATGGAAGTAGACTGCTTCATCTTTCTCCTGTAGAGTGGCTGGTGGGTTCTAATGCCAACCTAGCAGCAGCTGAGTGCTTAAACATTGCACCATGAGGGCTCTTTACACAAATGAAGAACTGAAAATAAATGTACTGCCTTCAAAGTCCAAAGAGAAAACTGCAAAACTGAAATTATTAAATGTTACATTAAGTATCACCAAAATGCACCACCATCAACTGATGGACTATGACTCTTTCTTAGTTGCACATAAAAACAACATTTAAATCACAAGAAGAAAACAATTCTTAACAAAATCCTCAAAATTATAAAGATACCCAAATCCATTCAAGGTCATTTTTCCAGAATGAAAACATATATTAAATAAGGTATGCTATTGTTCTGGTTACCTAGTGCCACTCTGACAAGAATATACCACAAATGGGATGGCCTTAACAAACAGGAATTTATTCTACAATTTGGAGGCTTTAAGTCCAAGTTCAAAGTGCCAGGCTCTAGGGGCTGGGTGAAATCCCCTCAGCCTTGTGGTCCAGCTCTGCCTCCTACTCCCGGCCCACTGAAGCTAGAGGCTTTTCTTCACTCAGACAGCTGCTGGCTGCTGAGGCTGCCATGCCCAAGGTTGACAAGTAAAAAAGGCACAGTCCCGATGTCACCAAACCACATGGCAGGCCATTAATTCAAGTCCATTTAAGTCCCAAGGTCGGCAGAGCATGGCAGGCTGCTGAATAATGACATGGTTACATGCAGGGTCTAAGCATGCCATATGCTAGAGACCATTCCCCAAGGCTTCTCCTTATATACAGGAAGCAAACCACACCCCAAAGGCAGCTCCTCAGCTGCTGACAGTAGAGTCCACCATGGAGTTGATTACCAGTCTCATCATGGGGAATACGACATCCAGCTGCCCAGCCACTGAACTAGGCCCAGCCAGGATGACACAGAAACGTAACCACGACAGCTATGGATTTAAGAAGGAGCCCTGGTGGTACAGTGGCTAAGCTGAGTCAGAATCAACTCAACAGCAGTGGGTTGGGTGTAAGTCTGATACATCTGATGGGATGTGGGATGAGCTTCAAATGAATGAATGCCCAGCACCTTGGAAGGTAGGGAATGGTGCAGGGTATCAGTCCCCGACTCCTGCCTCCCCTTACCTCTTTCACGTAAAAGATGATAATTAATTTCACGGTTGCGATTGCAGGGATAAGTGGTGAGAAAAAGGCTCCGATCCAGCAAATGGTTTGCCCATAAACGATTCCTAGAACATTATCAGGAATGGCAAATTCCTGCTGCCCCCAGCACTGAATCACCTTCCAGGAGGAACAGTATGTCACCAGGAGCCTGGAAAGGAACAGGAAAGCTGCTCACCTGGACTGTTGGTTTCTGTCAAGGCCTCAGAACCAAGTCCACAAAATTAAGGTCATTTGCTCACATATTCCTCAGGGTGGGTAGTTACTCATGTGTTTTGAAGATACAGCCCATATAGTGAACTCTGGAATCATTCAGATCAGGGCCCAGGTTTCACAACATCTTGGTTTCACAACTCACTGGTTAAATAAACTTAGATATGTTCCTTGACCTCTTTGAGTCTCATTTTTCTCATCTGGAATGTGGGTAGATTATAATGCAATCTACTTCAAAGGGCTGTAGAGGGAATAATTGACATGGGCAGCCTCTGGGCTCTGGCTTGTCACTCAGCACAAAAAAGTATCACGTATCCCACACAGAAAATGGCTTACCAGGACCACTTCCTGGAACCTAACAACTTCCAACAGAAACCCTAGGACCAGCGGCCTGAGATACATAGGCACACTGTTCCCTGCAGCATTGCCGTGGATTAGCAAAGATACTGTAAACAACCTAAACATCCATCAGTGGGGGCCACGGATACAGTGGGATACCCCACAGTCCTTAAAATGAATGAGGAAAACTCATGTGTCCTGCCACGGGAAGTGGTTCATGATATTTTGTTTATATGACAGAAAAGAGAAAAGCAGGCCACACAACAATGTGGATGTATGTGATTCCGTCTGTGGGAGGAAAACACTTCAAACCAAACTGTGCATTAGCATGCATATCTATTTACGGAAATGCATGTTGGTTGGTTTGTTTTTAAGGATGGCTAGATCTAGCCCCAAGTGTTAGCAATGGCTACCTCGAGGAGTGGAGTGGGACTGTGGGGTTAGGTGGTTAGGTAACAAAAGGGACCTCTTGCTCTTCTCCAGACTTCTGTATTTATTTAATATCTAAATCTTAAAAAAAAAAAAAAAAAAAATAAAAAAAAAAAAAAATTAACAAGCAGATATTCATGACATACTTGTATAATCTTTAAAAAGAGCTGATCCTTTTTTAATGTCTATTTTTAAGGGCTTACTGGACCTCTGGCCTATCTCTTTGCTATTGAGTTGATTCCAATTCATAGCAACGTGGGTAATCGGTATGTGTGAGTAAAACAAGCATTAAAATAAACAGTTTCATTTAAGATTCAAGGAGCTGCTGAGAATAATAATAACGACAATGACAGTCATGATGGTGATTGTCAACATTTTGTTTAGTGCTTATTATGTGCCACGTGGCAACGGTAGTTGAGTGGCAGAATTCTCGCCTTTCTTCTGGGAGACTGGGCTTGATTCCTGGCTAATGCATCTCATGACCTGTCTGTCAGTGGAGGCTTATGTATTGCTATGATGCCAAACAGGTTTCAGCAGAGTTGCCAGACTAAAAGTTGGAAGAAAGGTCTGGCAATCTAATTCTAATCGAATCACAACAGTGCGATCTATAATCAATGAAAGGGATAGCACAGGATCAGCAAGTGTTTCATTCCCTTGAGCATGGGGTCACCATGAGTTTGGCTGACTCCAGAGAAACTAACAGCACGTGCCCATAAGTGTTCTTAGTACTTTATTTGCATCATCTCATTTAATCCTCACAATCTCATGAAATGATTATCCCCCCCTTCATTTAATCCTATGAGTTAGGTACTACTACTACTACTACCTACATTTTATGGATGACAAAATAAGAACAGACCTTAAATAACTGGTCCAGGGTCATATAACTAGCAAGCAGTGGTGCTGGGGCTTAACCTAGATCAGGAAACATGGCATCCATCATAGTAACCTGGGGGCTCTAAACTGACAGGGCTGTGACTACTGGTGGGAAGTCTTCCCTGTGGAGGCTGTATGAAAAGCAGTGCCATTTCCACTCTTCAATCTGCTTTTTAAGATGGAGCAGTTAACAGGCTATGAGACTGATGGCCTGGCACTATTGAAAGTCACCAATGGGGAGTGGCTGCAATGGAGGGTAAGAGAAGCACCTTTCACACTTACTTTCTAGGAAAATCCACAAAAAGTGTCACGGCCAAGATGATGATGAGATCGAAGATCATTAGCTTGTACATTTCCTGCCCCACTTGGGTCTCCCAGCACTGAAACCAAAGAGACCAAGAGAAACTGAGAAGCCCGACTCAGGGCAGAGAAAACCAGGTTCTTGGATTCCTTCCAACATCCTTTCCATCTCCAGAATCTGCTGCCTCTGGTAAGGGCATCTATTGACGCTCCTCTGAGCTAAAGCAAAAACTTTGGTTTTCAAGTCCCTACAAGTAGAGATGGTAGGATTCAAACCCATCAAGGTGTCCTCTACAATCACCTGTTGTTCAGCAGGGCGTCCCATCCCTCAGCCTTACCGGATACAGTTTCTGGTTGTAGCCGCAGAGTTCACACGTGTAGTTATCACAGGATGTAATCTTGGAGCCCAGGGTGAACACCAGCACACAGATGGTGGCCAGTCGCATAAAGACACACCTTCAGGGAAGAGAAGAAGAAAAGAAAAGGGGAGGAGAAGGCTCTCAGGGTAGGCTGCGTCCTCAGAACTGGGGCTAGAGATGGCAGGTGCTGCCTTTCTTAAGTGCAAACCCACACCATCTGATCATTTTTTCATCACTAAAGCATGGGGCCATATGACATGCTTCCTGATGGGATGCAACATGGCATCACCAATGAAGTTCCTAGAACTAAACAACTGAAATGGAATCTAATAGGTATTTCTAAGTCTACACACAGTTTACGTAGAGCATAGGGGATAGAAAAACAAATTAAATACACCAAGAAGAAGCAATGCACTAATCCAAACAGGGGACGTTCTACAGGGCAAATGATCCAGTGTCTCCCGTAAATCAAGGGCATACCTAAAGGGGAGGAGGAATTCTTAACAAATAAAAGGGGTTTAAGAGACCTAACAAACAAATGCAGCTTGTGGACTTTGCTTGGGTCATAATTTGAACAAACCATGAAAAGTGACTTTATCAGGAAAACGGACTGCTAATTTTATTAGGTGTGATGATGGATATGTTAAGAAGAAATAAGTACTCATCACTTATATATACACACACACATACATACACATACAGACACATATACTGAAGTGTTTGTGTATGTGTGTGTGTGTGTATGTATATATATGTACATATACATATATACTGAAATGTTTGCATACACACACACACATATACATATGTATACTGAAGTATTTGCAATGATAATATATGTCACCTGATTGCCTATGGCACTTGACTGCTAACCAGAAGGCTGGCAGTTCAAACCCACCAGCCACCCCCTGGAAGGAAGATGGGCCAATCTATTTCCGTAGTGATATTGCCTCAGAAACCCAAGGAGGGGTTGCTATGAGTCGGATCCAACTCAAAGGCAGAGTTTTGAGTGAGTTTTTGAGGTGTTTTAAAATACTCAAGCAAAACTGAGGGAAACAGACAAAACACAATTAGCAAGATGTTGATAATGACAAACTAAGTGATAAGCATGTGGAGGTTCATTAACCATTCTTTCTGCTTTTCTAATTTTTGGAGAATTTCAAAACTAAAGAAGTTAAATAAGTGAGTACGTGAGAAAATCTCCGACATTTAAGAAGCAAAAGGAAAACTCTTCAGTTCAACACAGTCTTCCCTCATTTGTGCTAACTCCCTGGACCCTGCATCACATCGTCCATTTCTAGCATCTTCATAACCACCTTCCACCCAGCGCCCCACCCCATGACTTCCGCTGTGAACTCATAGGCCAAAGGGAGATTGCACTGTGTGTACAAATGATTCATCCACTGGGGTCCGGGAAGATTCTTGGCTCTGTGGGAAAATGTGCCACAACTGATTAGCAATATCTACCATGGCCAAAGGAGGGGCAAGTGGTGGTTTGCTTAATATGTCTGTCATCCTCAAATCAGGCATTACCTAAGGATTGTCAGCCGGATCTCAAAGCCTGGGGAATAATCTTCATAGTGAATGATCTTGGCAAAAATCATTGGAGTGATAAAATTGGCCAGCGTGATCACAATAGATGGCAGATACAGTATCAGGAGGTTCTCTCCAAAAACCATCTTGTCAATCTCCTAGGAAGATAACACAATGTATTGGTCAAGGGTAGGACAACTGAAGATGCATCACAAATGACTTGAACTTCCAAGAATTCCACCCCACATGTTTGGCAAGCACACAAAACAAAACACATCTGTTATTCAACATAAGCAATGGTTTACGTCATTAAACATAAACCATTTCCTGGAAGCACAACACGGTGAATGTAATTCATGTCACTGAATTGTACAGTTAAAATGGTGAGTATGGCAACTTTTTCGCTGTATTTTACTACAATAATTCTTTTTTTTTTTTTTAAATAAAATTTTTTTTAAAGCCATCTTCTTCCTTGGATGTTCAAACAGAGGAACCATGATCTAATACTATGCTGGAAGAAAAATTATCTCTATTGGATTTTTTTAAGGTAAAGTACAAATACTCCATGTATTCTGTATCAATGGACAATTAACAAAATATTTTCAAGGCCTACAAATCTGCTTCTGAAAGGTCACAGCTGAGAAAAGCCTATCGAGCAGAGCTCTACTCTGCAACACATGGGGTAGGGTCACCATGAGTTGGGACTGACTTGACAACAACTGCTTGGTTAATATTGATTCACTTATAAGGAGACCCGGTGGCCTAATTGTTAAGAGCTCAGCTGCAAAGGGAAAGGTTCACAGTTCAAACCGACCCAGTGGTTTTACAGGAGAAAGACCTGGCAATCTGCTGCCATCTGGATTGTTCTTGCTGTTGTTATGTGCTGTCGAGTTGACTCCGACTCACAGTGACCCCAGAGACAACAGAGGGAAACACCGCCCGGTTCTGTGCCATCCTCATAATCTTTGCTATGCTTGAGCCCATTGCTGCAGCCACTGTGCCAACCCCTCTCAGTGGGAGTCTTCACTATTTTCACTGACCCTCTACTTTACCAAGCATGATATCCTTCCCCAGGGACTGGTCCCTTCTGACAACATGACCAAAGTAGGTGAGACAAAGTCTGGCCATTCTTGTTTCTAAGGAGCATTCTGGCTGCACTTCTTCCGAGACAAGATTTGTTCACTCTTCCGGCAGTCCATGGTATTTTCAGTATTCTTTATCAATACCACAATGAAAAGTATCAGCCTAGAAAACTTTATGGGGCAGTTTTACTCTGTCATATGAGGTCACTATGACTTGAAATTGACTTGAAGACACCTAACAACAACAACAACAATCCACTTGTAATAGCCTTTCTCTCCTTTCACTATGTAGCCATAAGTATAATTATTCAAGATAAAGACTAAATTTCCTGGTCTCCCTTGTAGCTAGGTACAGCCATGTGACTAAATTCTGGCCAAAGGGATGACTAGAAGTTACAAGTGCAACTTCCAGGTCATGCCCTTAAAGGGAAAGGCCATGTTCTCCTTTTCCGTTCATCTCCTTCCCACTAGCTAGAATGTGTACATGGTGCTGAGCTATCTTGTACCATGAAGAAGAGGACCATCCCCAAGGATGGTGATCCCTAAGATGGGAGGAGCCTGGGCCACTTATGACTGATTCTATGATGCAGAGCCATTCGACCAAATTGGATTTTCAAAACCACTGTAATTCTAGGTAAAATGAGACCCTGACTCATAAGTAGAAGAGTCAGGAATTAAATGCAGGCAATCTGGCTGCAAAGCTTAGAATGGTAACAACTGACATACTGTAAATTCCAGGAGGAACAGGCATCTCAAATCTGCTTTAGATATTTTAAGTTTTTTCTTAAAAATGGAAATTAATCACCTTTGATTTTCAGGTTATCTGTCATCTCAGCCAAACGTGAATCCCCATACATAAGACAGAAATAATGATGGCACCTACTTCACAGCTTTGCAATGCCCAACCAGGGGAAAAGTTAGTTCCAAAGAGTACTTACTTTTTTCATGTGTTCTTGTGAAAATATAGTTGCTCTATAGATTGCATAAAAGCAGGCTGCTAAAACAGCCAGGACAATGCAGTTCAAAAACAGTCTCAAAGAGTAAATCCGTATTGTTTCTTCTGAGGTCCTTTCTGCTATCTTCTGCCGTATTCTCTCTTCTTCCAGGTCTGCCTGAGGAGCAAATAAAACTCACTTTTGAACACTGGGATAGAGGGATATTTAGGGGTGACATCAGTGATTCATCATCTCTCTCCTCATCCATCTTTTAAGGTTTTCCTTAAATCATTCACCTTTTCCCAAGATGCCTTTCAAGGCTAAGCCCAAATAGTTCTCATGTGTACTAAAGGCTCAATTCAAGGTAGAATCTCTATTTAAGGCTGCAGTTAGACTGAGGAACAAATATGAACTGTAAGCTGTTCATGGCATTATTATATGTAGTAAGTGGTGGTTATGTTTGTGTGTCAGCTTGGCTGGGCCTGGTTGAGTGGCTGGGCAGCTGAATGAAGTTATTCCCCATGGGGAGACTGGTAATTAACTCCATGGTAGAATCTATTAGAGCAGCTGAGTAGCTGCTTTGGGTATGTGGTCTGCTTCCCATATATAAGAAACAGCTTTGGGAATGGTCTGTAGCTTATGGCACACTTGGACCCTGTATGTAGCTGTGTCGTTGTTCAGCAGCCTGCCATGCCCTGCTGACCTTGGAACTTACAACGGACTTGAATTAATGGCCTGCCGTGTGGTTTGGTAACATCAGGACTGTGCCATTTTACTTGTCAAACTTGGGCTTATCAGCCTCAGCAGCCAGTAGCTGCCTGACTGAAGAGATGCCTCTAGCTCCAGTGGGCAGGGAGCAAGAGGCAGAGCTGAAGCCCAAGGTTGAGGGGCTTTCACTCAGCCCCTAGAGCCTGGCACTTTCAACTCAGACTGCTAGCCTCCCAAACTGTAAGAAAATAAACTCCTGTTTGTTTAAGCCATCCCATTTGTGGTATATTCTTGTCAGAGTGGCATTAGATAACCAAAGCATAGTATTTGTAGCTTTTTTAAAAACTATTTTTATTTTTTTTTCTAATCCAATCTAGCAGTCTCTGTTTTTAATAGAAGAATTTAACCTGTTCACATTTAATGTAGAAAATAATAAATTTGATTTGATTCCTTAAATTTGTTCTATCTTTATTAACATTTTGATTGACTTATTGTCCCCTTCCACTTATTTTGGTGGGTTTGATCTAGAAGCTATTTATTATTTCTTTTATTATTATTAGTCTGAAAATTCTACTGTCATATTTTCTCTACTCCACCCAAACATCACAGCATTCCCTTCTGATTCCTGTTTCTCCTGAAATCAGTAATGTTTACGATAGGTTCTCATCAGGTGGGAAAATAACAGCCTAAGGTGGAAGAGGGTGGAGGAAAGATACCATCTCCTTCCACACTCTATGGAGTTCCCACCTCCCTTCCCAGCCCCACTCAGTTCCCAGGCCCACCCTCATGTTTGAACCTATGATAATAACCCCAATAAGTTGTTAGTTGCCATTGAGTTGATTCTGACTCATGACAATCCCATGTCACAAAATGGAACTAATGCATAGGGTTTTCTTGGCTGAAATCTTAATGCAAGCATATCACCAGGCCTATTTGTTGAGGTACTGCTGGGTGGGTTTGAACCACCAACACTTAAGTTAGCAGTCGAGCAGAAAGAGTTTGCACCACCCAAGGGCCTTCTCTTGAAAACTAGATGGGGGAAACTTGCTAAGTGACAAGGAGAGCCTTGCCTCCACCTACCTTCTCTGCAGGCTGCAAACTCGCCTCCTAGGCATGGACCTACCAGCAAGAAACTGCAAAGGGAAAAGCCACCAGTACTCACCTGGAGCTCGTTCTGCAAGCTGATGTGCTTCATATCTGCCATGTCTTGGTTGGTGATACAGAAGTCCCAGCCAGCAAAGATCTTGTTGCAGTAACTCTGGAAGTGCTCCTCACTCCGAATCAGGTTGATTTTGAACCCCTCCACAGACCTGACCCCAAAACACAATCATCATCCTTCTTATAAAAACAACAGCAAAATACAGGTTTTGTCTAAGATAAAAAAAAGTCAGACACTGGAGCATTTTCTGTTCATGCTGACATGCTCACATTTTGGCCCATTCTCAATATATGTGGAAGATAACCAGCTATCTATTGTTGAAAACCATTTTTTTTCATCCACTCAATGGCTACTCTTTAATCTAGAGGTCCAGTATGATCATTTTTGCTCCCATGGGGCCACTGGCTTTCTTTCCTTTCCATAAATACAGTCTCTGTCCTGCTTCAGGGCCTTTGTACTTGCAGTTCCCTCTACCATGGCTGGTTCCTTCCCATCCTCCAGGTTTTAGCTAAAACAGTCTGCTCATGTAGAAGAATCCTGATGAAAAGGAGGGAGAATGCAGAACAGAATTTTAAATTTTTATGGAATCCAGTGTTTCTGGAGTCATGGAGGCTGGATGAACCCCCAAAACCATTGCCCTGAAATAGTCTTTAAATATTAGACCAAAAACATCCTCTGAAATCTTAAAACCAAATAATAAAACCAAAACCCAAACCCAATGCCACAGAGTTGATTCCAACTCAGTTTAGCTTAACTAGTTAAGAAGGTCTGCCTGGAGCAGACCTTCAGTCTGAATCATACATCTTCTAGGATCTATCTTTACGATCAAATGGCTAACAACACCTTGAAAGATTAGATAGGAGCCTTAGGGGTCAGTGAGTCTGTTAACGGAAGAGGAACAACTGAGAAAAGAATGTAATCTATGTCACTGAATTATACAAGAACTGAACTAGACAGAAAATGTTGAATTGGTGCATGTTTTGCTGTGTATGTTCTCAATAATAACAGTAACAACAAAAATAAAATAAATTGAAAAAACACAATAAGAGAACAGTCCCTCCATGGATTGGATTCCCCACCACTAAAAGTTATAAGCCTTTCTTTTTATTTCTTTCACAGCAATGAACCTAATCTGCAAGTATTTATTTATTACTGCTTATGGTCCCTTATCCTCTGACTTAAATCTTAACAAATATTTAGTAAGCATCTGTTTATGCCACATATAACTGTTGACATTTCAGAATTTCTACATATTAAAATGCTTTCATGTGGGGGGAAAAAAAAAAGCATGAGCTCTGGTGGTGTAGTGCCTAAGGCACTTGACTGCTAACCAGAAGGCTGACGGTTCAAACCCACCAGCTACTTCTCAGAAGGAAGGTTGAGCAATTTACTTCTGTAGTGATACCACCTCAGAAACCCAAGGAAGGGTCGCTATGAGTTAGATCTCACCTGACAGCAGTGAGTTTGGCTTTTTGGTCTGTATACAATGATATAACACCATCAAATGCCACACACAATGCTCTGCAGATGACAGAAGATATTTTTAGGACTCACTAGTGACTATGGATTAAACTGTGTCCCCCAATATATGTGCTAGAATCCTATACCTGTGGATGTAATCCTGTCTGGAAACAGTTCTTTGTAATGTGAATTGATCATACCTAAGTAGGATGGGTTCTAAATCTAATCACTTGTGAATTATAAAAAGAGCAGATTAGACTCAGACACTAACACACGGAGGAAGACGGGCTATCAAAAAGAAGCAATCAACAGTGGAGAACCTGATTTGGACTTTTAGGTTCAAAAACTGTCAGAAAAGAAATTTCTGTTCTTTAAAGCTGCCCACTTGTGGGGTTTCTGTTACAATAGCATCAGGTAACCAAAACACCAGTGAAGCAACAAGATAACAGAAATGGAAACAATTACAGTGGTTAGTCATTTGGTCTAAAGGTCCTATCAGAACCACCTGGGGTCCTTTTTTAAAGTGCAGACTCCCAGACAGTGTCATACCCAATGACAATTAGATGCCTCGTTCAGATGGTCTTATGTGGCGTCCAGAAATAGACTATTTTATAAAGATCCACAGGTAATTCTGATTCACCATACCAGTTGAAAATCTCTGATTTAGACCAAATCTACCTTTCACAGATGAAGAAGCTAAGATCCAGAGAAGGGAAAATTCTTTCCTTAGACTCAGAGAGTTAGTGGCAGAACTGGGATTAATTTGATGATGATGATGATGACTATTGATGACCATGAAGATAATCATTTTAACTGAGTAAATGTCTATGAAGTTCTTTACCTGCCTTGTTTCAGGTAACCCTTCCAGCAACCCTTTCAGGTATGTACACTTCAAAAAATGAAAGAAAGGAGACTCGAGGAGGTGGAGTGATTTGATGTAAGGCACACAGTCAGCAGCACAGCCAGGTCTGAACACTGGTCTCTGAACACGAGCCTCATATGTTCACCACTCTGCAGCTTACCTACCTCCTAGGCTAGGCCAGTACCCCCTCACATCACAACCAGCCTTCCCTCTGCCAATCTCCCCTAGGAAACAATCAAGGCCCTGAGGATAAGCAGCTTCAGCTAGTTCCAGAGGCGGATTCACTGCTGGGCTAATAAAGTTTATTGATGCTTCAGAACCTCCTCCAAGGCCCTGGGAGTACCTGTAGCAATGTGTTCATATGGTCATCTGTTCTTTTTATAATTTAGAAAATATGTTTTTGTATTCTTGGTCTTGAAGACACTCCTCCAAATTGTCCAGTCTGCAGGCTTACAAAACTTGGAGCTGCCCCTGCTACAATCACAGAGTAGCAAAGCTAGAACTCCAATCAATCAGCATTTCTTTACAAAGCAAGTCTCTGTCTCTCAAAGTGAACCATTGCCTGTGCTTGCTGGTACACTGCCCATTTGGGTGGGGGGTGGATCCAAACCAAACCAAAACCACCAGTATCGAGTTGATTTCAATTCATAGTGACTTTATAGGACTGAGTAGAATTTCCCATAAGTTTTCAAGGCTTTAAATATTTACAAAAGCAGGCTCTCTTATCTTTCTGCCACTGACATTCTGGTTAGCTGCTGAATGCTCTAACCTCCATACAACTAAAGCTCCTTTTGGGGGGTGGATACAAACTAGTTATTTTATTCCATATACTCAGGGTCATGACACAAATGCCTGGCTGGGTGCTGGGGCTTTCTCTGAGGCCTGTGATCATGAATCTCGGTCTTCGTGAAAGGCAAACTCATGGTCTTCTGCATCTGTGCTAAGGAGTGTCATAGTCTCATGGTGTACAGCACTGCCCACACACTCAGAGGAGACAAAGAAATGGGCAAGGGAGGTGCTATCCATGATTCTGCCTGCTAAGCAATGCCCTTGTGGCAGAGATGGCAAGCCAGCCATCAAAAAAGTGTGGTTCCCCTTCCATAGTGTAGTGTTATTGATAGAAAGTGGCTGCCTGGCTAGGGGTATCATTTCACAGCCTCCTTTGCAGTTAGCTATAATTGTGTGACTGAACCGTAGCCAATGACATGAGAGTGATGTGTGGCTTTTCCACCCAAGCTCATAAACATCTTCCATGGTGCTCCAGTGCTCTTTTTCCCTTTCAGTCCTCAGAAGGACCTTTGAAGTCACATGCTGAAAATGGCAAAATCTTGGTCAACTTGAGTCTCAGAATAACTATGAAAAGGAGTCTACCACACTCACTAACTTGTGTCCCTACCTAGAAATATCATGTAAAAAAAAAGCATCCATTGTGTTTGAGCCATTGTATTTTTGGTGACAGCTGTTTGTTAAAGTAATTAAAGATGTTATTAGCTGCTGTTGAGTAGACCCCTAACTCATGGCAATCCCACGTACAATTGAACAAAATACTGTCTGGTCCTTCGCAATCCCCAAGATCATTTGAAGATTGGACCATTGTGATCCACAGGGTTGTCACTGGCTGATCTTTGGAGGTACACTGCCAGGATTTCTTCCTAGTCCATCTTAGTCTAGAAGCTCCACTGAAACCTACTCAGCTTCACAGCAACATGCAAGCCTCCAATGACAGATGTATGGTGGCTGCACGTGAGGTGCACTGGATGGGGCTGAAACAGAGGTCTCCCTCATGGAAAGCAAGAATTCTACCAGTGAAACACCACTGCCTTCATTAATGTAGTTAATACCTCCCCTTCTCTTGAGAATTGACATCTTCTACTAAATTTAACCACCACAGGAAATATTACATTTGTATATGGCCCGAACCAGTACCCACAGATGAAGGCTCAGGGGACTGGACTCTTGAATCAACAGGGGTCCATCAAAGACGTCCTGCCCCCCCCCCCACACACATGGCTACAGTTCATTGCTTTCAAGTTGAGCACCTAAATGAAGCAGAGCCAACAAGGTGCTTCCCAGGATTCCTGCACCTGTGACCCAGGGAGTCACGGACTGATGGACACTGTAAGACACCCTGTCTCCCATCACTAAAGGGAGCCACCATACACAGGAGAATCAGAGATGAGGGAGCCCTTGCTTTTGGTTGCTCCTAAGCTTAGGCACATAGTGATCCTTCCTGTAATTTGGACTTTCTTTCCTCCCTTGGTTCCCTAACTCAATTCCCCTTTGCTCCAGTTGCCAAAGTTGGGTTTTTGCCACTTGCAACCCAACAGAGATCTGACTAACACCCACACTAGAACAAAGATACATTCAGGGCAGATATTTGTGAATGTGTTTGGTTGAAGAATTCCAGGCTGCTACTTCTGGTTCCTGGGAGCTCTGGTAGCATAGTGCCTAAGGCACTTGACTGCTAACCAGAAGGCTGGCAGTTCAAACCCACCATCCACTCCTCGGAAGGAAGGTTGGGCAATCCTACTTCCGTAGTGATACTGCCTCGGAAACCCAAGGAGGGGTCGCTATGAGTCGGGACCAACTCGACGGCAAATAACAACAACAACAACAACTTCTGGTTCCTGAATCCTGGCCTATATTTCCTCCTAGTCTTCTCAAATGCCCACACACTCACTAACCTTTCCCTGCGAAGTCCACCCCTGGACTCTGCTCATTCATTGGATAATGATGTCTAGAACCCACTGATCTCCAACAAACTCCAACCGTCACAATAATTAAGAGAAAATGCAATTACAAAACAAACTTTACCTTTTTACTATCCAAAGAAGGCTCAGGGCCAGGTAAGCAATTGTGCTTACCAAATAAGCTAGAGGTAGATCATAGGTGAAGTTCTGAAATTTCACCCCATCGATGGTGTAATGTCCATAAAAGAGGCAGGTGTCTTCCAAGAAACCCTAAAACAAAGCCAAGGGCATGAGATCAGATCAGTGAGTTCACATCAGGTGAGCAGGATAGTAGCCTCCAACCTCAAAGAACTCATACTCCAACGTCTTATTCATTGTTGTTTCTCCAGGGACCAGTGCAATCTCAGATGTATACTCAGTTAGCATTTGGGGAATATAGAACTGATAAAACCTGAGCATTAAAAATATACTGAAAAGTTGAGGGTAGACACACATTAACCTGGGCAAAAGGCAGGCCAATATACATTAAGGGGGAGGTCAGTACAAAAGGACAAGGCAAAGCAAGACACTGGGAGAAGCACAAGAGTTAAAGGCAACAGAGGTCAATACCATACACAATCCTGCATTAACAGTAATAATTGTTACTGTAATAACAGTGTTTATTGTAATAAAAAGTAATAATAAGTGGATACATAGATAGACATGGAAGCTGAATAGATGTGGGAAGATAAATGGAACTAATCCACAGACATATATTTGACAGAGGGTATTTCTACATATGTATGTACCAAACCAAAAACCAAACTCACTGCCATCGAGTCGGTGACCCAACTCATAGCGACCCATCCTTGGGTTTCCGAGGCAGTATCCATACAAAAGTAGATTGTCCAATCTTTCTTCCAAGGCGTGGCTGTTGGGTTTGAACCACTAGCCTTTTGGTTAGCAGTCAAATGCCTTAGGTACTACGCCACCAGAGCTCCTATGTATTTACATACATTACAAATATATTCACGAATACAGTAAAGCACGCAGGGCGCAAAGTTATGAAAACTTCTTAGCCATAACCAAACACCTTAAAGGAATGAGTCACTGGGCCTGGGGGCTCAGAACCATCATCTCAGGGGACAACAAGGTCAACTGGCACAACATAGTCCTCAAAGAAAATAATCTACGTCCTACTTTGGTGAGTAGTGACTGGAGTCTTAAAAGCTTCTGAGTGGCCATCTAAGGTGCAACTATTGGTCTTTTTCAATTTGAAGCAAAGAAAAGTGAGGAAAATCTAAGACACGTGGAAAAAATTATTTCAAAGGGTTAATGGACCATGTGAACTTCAGCTTCCAGGACACTGAGACTAGAACTAGATGGTGGCTGGTTACCACTGTTGACTATATTGAAAGGGATCACATTAGAAGATCCTGAATAGAGTGGGAGAAAAATGTGGAACAAAAGTCAAAATCATAAAATAAACCAAGCTGTCTCGTTAGATGGAGACCAGTGGAATGCTCATTATCCCTGAAGCTCAACTTTCAGTCAAACAATACACAGGTCTATAAGGTAAATAATTGTACCAGTGTGGTACATAATACTTAGAACAATCAACCATTCAAGATCCAAAGGGCAGCATTTGCCCAGGGATAAAATTCAGAAGGCAGGAAACACAGGAGGAGGTAGGATAAGTGCTATTACTTTGTGGGGATTTCAATGGCATGAAACAAAATGTGTATGGATTGTTGAATGGAAAACTGATATGCTCTGTAAATTTGGCACCCAAATAACAATAAAAAGTTAAAAATATATATACTCTAGAAAATCTGAAAATAAAATAAAATAAAAAATCCATTTACAATAGCATCAAAAAGATTTAAATATTTAGGGATAAATTTAACAAAAGTGACAACTTACACTCTGAACACTACAAAACACTGCTGAAAGTAAAGATATGTAAACAAATGGTAAGGCATCCCATGTTCATGAATGAGAAGGCTTAATATGTTAAGATGGCAGTCCTTCTCAAATTGGTCTACAGATTCAACACAACCTCTACCAGAATCTCAGTGGCTTCTTTGTTGAAATTGACCAGATGATCATAAAATTTATATGGAATTGTAAGAGACCCAGAATAGCCAAAACAATCTTGAGAAAGAACAACAAAATTGGAGGGTTTACATTTCCCAATTTCAAAGCTAACTACAGAAACACTTCATAACATAAGGACTTGGAAGACATTAACAAACAAAAAAACCAAATTCACTGTTGTCAAGTTGATTCGACTCACAGCAACCCCTCCTTGGGTTTCTGAGGCGCTGTCTCTATGGAATCTTCCTTCTGAGGAGTGGATGGTGGGTTTGAACCACTAGGCTTCTAGTTAGCAGTCAAATGCTTTAGGCACTACGCCACCAGAGCTCCTGGAGGACATTATGCTGAGTAGTGAAATAAGTCATTCACAGAAGAACAAATAGTGTATGAGTCCACTATTGTAAAAAGTCAAGGAGATGTTTACACTTGGAAGGAAAGTTTCTTTCTTGGTTACCAGGGATGGGAGAAGAGGGGAGGGAAAATTGTTAGCTAGGTAAGAGAGATGTATCGATCTGGGTGAAGGTAATGACAATATACCAAAAACAAGTGACCAGCACAGTAACACTAAGGAAAAGGAAAACATGGAAAAGTGTACAATAGGTACAGATAACAAAGGTAAATACTTTTACAAACACAATACTGCATTACCAGTAGTAACAAACATTAATCTACAAGTGAATACATAGGTAGACAGACAAGATGATCAGGTTTGGGCAGGTGAAAAGGAATATACACAAGACTGTATATAGATTTGGCAGATGCTATATTTCTACATATTTGTGTATGCTGTAAGAATGTTCACACATATAATAGAGCTAACAGGGGGCAAAGTTATGATAACTTCTTAGCCACAGCCAAACACCTTGAGGCAGTGAGTCACTGGGCCCATAGGCTTGGGATCACGGTCATGGGAGACATCTAACTCAATTGGAATAACATACTACACAAAAACATTGTTCCACATCCTACTTTGGCGAGTAGCGACTGGGATCTTAAAAGCTTGCAAGCAGCCATGCTCTGGTTACCAAGTGCCGCTCTGACAAGAATATACCACAAATGGGATGCCCTTAACAAACAGGAGTTTATTCTCTTACAGTTTTAAGTAAGGCTTTAAGTCCAAGTTCAAAGTGCCAGGCTGTAGGAGCTGGGTGAAAGCCCTCAGCTTTGGGCTTCAGCTCTGCCTCCAGCTCCCAGCCCATTGAAGCTAGAGGCTTTTCTTCACTCAGAGAGCTGCTGGCTGCTGAGGCTGCCATGCCGAAGGTTGATAAGTAAAAAGGCACAGTTTGGATGAAACCAAACGACACGATAGGCCATTCATTCAAGTCCATTGAAAGTCCCAAGGTCCGCAGAGCATGGCAGGCTGCTGAACAACAACACAGCTACATGCAGGGTTCAAGGTGCTATAAGCTAGAGACCATTCCCAAAGCTGCTGCTTATATACAGGAGGTAGACCACATACCCAAAGGCAGCTACTCAGCTGCTCACCGTAGATTCTACCATGGAGTTGATTACCAGTCTCATCATAGGGAATACTACATCCAGCTGCCCAGCCACTCAACCAGGCCCAGCCAAGTTGACACACAAACTGAACTACCACAAGCCATCTACATGCAGCGATG